AAGAAGTAGTTAGTGCATTGATGATCGATCTAATGCAATTGTTTTAAGAATCTTATATTTAATCAAAGTACTTAATCTACTGATTAATTGTATTTTAATTATAAAATATGTTAATAATATATCATTTTAATATAATAGAAATATGAGAGGGCAATAAAAGTAAAATATTGTGACAAGATGTCACATGGAATGAGTTTGACCTAGGAGCATGATTTGAGGCAATCAGAGGAATAACCGGGTCAAGTATATGGCTTCAATAGTCGTTGTGAGTATAGTACATTTGGATGTAGGGGTGTCAATTTTGGATCACGGAGTCGATCGGAACTGACCCGGCTATGTTTGGCCCGACCTGAACCCGACCAATTTTTGTAAACCGGTCAATTTTTCGGACCCGAATCCAACCCGCCAAGTTGATGTTCAACTTCGATGTTCCGTCTGTTTGCTCCTTTGTTGGTGTTCGACTTCGCTCCTTTCGGTCAAATCGGAACTTACAATACTTTGATTGGAAGCAACGACGGGAGTTTGCAGTCGCTCGCTGTGAAGGAGTTGCCGCTCCTTCGTTGTTGTTCAACTTCGCTCCTTGCCTCGACGACATTTCCTTCCAGTCGGAATCGGAAGTTAGAACATTTGATCAAAAGCAATGATTGGAGTTCTCTCACTGTCACTCACTTGGCTGGATCTTTGTTGTTATTCGACTTCGCTCCCTGTATGACATTCTCTTCCGATCTTATCGTATGTTACAACATTTTGATTGGAAGCAACGACAGGAGCTTGCTCGCTTTGAAGGAGGTGTGGAGATTGCACGAGTCGCTTCTTCGGCTCCTTCATTGCAGTTCGACTTCGCTAGTTCGACGACGCTGTTGTTCGACTTCACTCCACGGTCGACGTTCCCTTCTGATAGGATTGGAAGTTACGTCATTTTGATCGGAAGCAACGAAGTTCGCTCACGGTGAACTACAATAAAACAGATCAGAAACAGGTCATTTATGGGTTTTCGGGTCTACCCGAACCCGACCTGGAATTTGAAACGGGTCGAAAATCAGGACCCGAACCGAACCCGTTTCGGGTTCAGGTTGAGCCGAACCTGAAATTTTCGTGTCGGGTTCAAGTCGGATTTTTGGGTCATGTCAAATATTGACACCCCTATTTGGATGGGTCCCTCAATATCACAATGATCTACATGAGTCAATTTAGAGGACTGTCAATTATACAAAAGAGGTTAACGAGATTATACATTCAATACTAAAAGAATTACAATAATAGGGTGCCCTAGACGATCGCCGTTGTAGTCAACAAACTATTTGATCGTTAGCTTACTTTAAATTGTGCAATGCCAATTTTGAGACTAAAATGCGATTACAATTAGTTATGATTAGTAGTCTCAGTTCGCCTCTCTGGGTGTCAAGGAGAGCAGGAGGGTCCTCATTAAAGTGGCATCATTAGATATCTTCAGACAAATCTCTAAGATGTCTCTTTAAGGATTAATTATTCAGTGTGGACACCGTATGTTATCAGGAGGTAAATTAGAGCGCATCATGTTACCTCTTTATTGTGTATCACAACAGTGTACCCATTGTATAGTGGGTGACATGGCGTGCTCTGATTCGCCTACGAACGGTCCGATGTCCACACATAATAATTATCCTCTTTAAGGTGCCATTTTTGAAAAAAGGCCCTCATTAAAGTGGCATCATAAACTTTGTATTGAGTACATCAAACATAACTATGATGGCCACATGGACAACAAAGATTGTATTGAATATTTCAATGATCTTCTGGATTTGCAATTGAAATTCTTAAATAGATCATGTACAATTAGGATGATAGTTGAAGAGAATTCAAATATAAATCCCACAGCAGGTTGAAGTAAAGAAACGCTGAGTAGAGGATAAAAAATTATATATATTTGTTCTTATTTTACCCATACTTGCTCTCAAATATCAGCTGTCAAACAATTGAGCTTAATGAGGAAGTTGGATTGACTAGCAATCCATGCAGACCAATAAATATTTGTTACCTTGTCATAATTGAGTATCATGTAGTTCACCTTGGTATGTTGGATGGGAGCTTTGGCTACTAACTGAAAGATCTTAGGTTCGAAACTTGCATATGTGATTTATGTGTGAATTTACCTTAATTGACCCTAATATCTCACAAAAGAATCATAATTGTGTATCACGAAACAAAGGGCTCACTTGACCTGATTTGCTGTTATGACGCATAATTATTAAGAGATTTATAGATCATTAATTAAGTGGCGCGGATCGCTAATTTGTAGCTTCACAACATTCCTCTTTAGGGTAAAGATTACAACTATGTCATAAATTTTAACCCAACAATCAAGACATATGTGTATACATGCATACATACATATCTATATACACATATGCATATTGAATAAATATTACACACATTCTTGTGTTACCCAACAAGTAAAACATGATATCAGAAGAGATAATTGATTTTGCATCCACTCATTCATTTGACATCTTTCTCTTTATTCTTACTAAAATAAAAAAAATCTATCTTTTTTTATGATTAATAATATTAATACGTCATCAAAAATTATCTTGACCGGGCCAAAATCTCTAGGCACATCTGAAGAAACTTTCAAAATTATATTCAGGATCATTCAAACTTCGGCTTATGCAAACTTATAATTGAGCTAAGTGTCTCGATGAGACTAACCGCCGACACAAAAAATGGTCTCATCCGAGTCCAAATGAGCCTAAACCAAGGGCATCAAGCATAGTTGAAAGCTTCAAAATATTAATTGGATGAACAAACTATTTCCAAATTTATCATGCTTACAATCAAATCGAGCGGCTCGACGAGAAGAATCTAGCGAGCCCAAGGTTGCTTAGTTTTTACATTATTAAGGCATATAAATGTTAAAATAATGATCTATGCTCGGAGGAATCAATATGGGTCATCTGATGGAATACTCCAAATTTGTTCAAAAAATTTCCCATATTTTTGGGACCAGCAACTCCTGAAAATCTATAAATATGCTTCCTTTCACTATATGAGAGGAAAATTTGGCTGAAGATTAAAGAGAGCTATGAGGCTTGAACAATTCCAAAGTTCCACCCAAACACTGAAACTAGTGAGCACTCGCCGACCAACGTCCCCACTGGACCTCTACCAGCCAACAGTCGCTGCCAGACTTTCACCAGTCAATTGTAATCGAACCTCTGTCTAGTCGCTCCCACCACCACCAGATATCCAGTTGACAGATTGCCTTGGGACCTCCATCTAGCCTCCATCGTCGCTGCTAAGCCTCCACCCTGCCAATCAACGTCAAACTTGGTTGATTAATCGCCATCTCATGTCCTCTGCCAGATAGTCATCATCAGACTTCCTAAGGGTGTCAATATATGGCAAGACCTCAAAACTTAACCCGAACCAAAAAATATAGGTTAGCATCAACCCGTTTGAGAAACGGGTAGGGTTCGGGTTTAAAATCCTGACTCGATTGCAAATTCAAGTTGGATTTGGGTCAACCCAAAAACCTGACTTCAACCCAGAATCGACCCGTTCCTTCGACTTCAACCTATTCCTTCGATGCCTAACCCATTCCTTTGAAGCTTTGACGCCTCCTTCAGTCCTTCGACGTTGTTCCTTCTATCGGGTTGGAAATCACGAGTCACTATAGACTTCTTTTATACCTCATGTCTAGTCAGAAGTCACGAGTCTTGCCTCCTTCAAAGCTTCGATGAATCGATGCCGACTTCTGTCAATTCGCAAGTCATGATAGCAAATAGCTTTCCTCCTTTGACGTCAGCCCTTTTGTCGGGCTGGAAGTCACATTAGCACGCCTTTCAGAACAACAATGATGGGAGGATCATTGTATCAAAAGTAACGACGACGTTGGGAGGGATCGTTGGATCAGACATCAGAAGTCATAACTACTCTCGTCGTTTGTTGGATAAGAAGTAATAAGGCAGCTAGCTCGTTGTGAAGACAACCTTTTTGCTCCCGTGGTTTCATGTCAGTTCAGATCAACCCATAAATTCATGGAGTTAGGCTCGGGTTGAAATTTCTGACCTGTTTGCAAAAAATGATAGGGTTTGGGTTGTGTCAAATAGTAACAGGTTAGAACCAGGTTCCATCTGAACCCGACCCACAACCCACTTTTGACACTCCTTGGACTTCCGGTGGTCAATTTCCATCGAACCTTTGCCCCACAATCGTCAATGCTGGAACTTCACTTGTAGACCACTAATGTTGGTTCTCTATCGATTGATTGCCTAAGTTAGACCTTCTACCAACTGATCACCACCGCCCCCACCAAACCTTCTACCAATTAATCGCTGTCATTGAATCATCATGATGTCCTATGGGGACTCTACCACTATGTCCATCTACTCCTTGCACTCTTGTAATTTCACTATGCCCATAATAAGGGATGGCCCAATATTGATAATTCACACATATATAATGAAATCGAAATCATTTCAATTGGGCAAGATTTCGTGACTTTTTAGTTTCCACATTTTTTACATAAAAAATATCTATATTTTTATTTTCTTTTTATATACTTAATCTTCTTGCCAAATTAGAACTCAAAGCTCTCTCACTCTACAGTCAATAAATAATATTAACTATTATATATTATTTATTTATTTATTGTAATTAAAAATTCTACTCAATGTGATCCATGGTTCTGGATTTGGATTGTGCTCCAATTGGTGTGGGGCCAGAGGAAATTACAACCAGAAGAGTTGTACGGGACCCCATCTTACCCTTATAGCTGGTATTCTTCAACTTCCCCCCTCTATTCCTTAGAATTTCAACTCTACTACAAATCCACCATTTTTTTTTCATACTTCTAACCCTCAATAGATTAATGCAATGATCAAGCAGCTCTGAAATCAAATTTATGCAATTCTTTAAAAAATTCAAGCAAAATAGAACTTTGGACGGTGCTCAACGGTAAAGCAATCTATCATTTCTATTAAAAATTTCTTCTCATTCAAAAAAAAAATTTTTTTTTTGAACGCAAACATGAAAATTTTCTAAAATTTTCCGTATAATGTACCCTTGAAATAATTCATTGGATATCTAATTTTATCTGTTCATCTTCTTCTTCCCCATCCAATGGCTCTGAATCTCTGCCCTCATCCTCTCCAAGTTCTTTCTGTTTCCTCAGAGAGAAGCCAAATGGGAATTCTTAGAAAGAACTCACCTTTACTCATTTCATTACAAAATCTCGGAGGGCAAAGCTCTCCCCTGCTTCAAAGCTACAGTCATGGAGGAAGCGCTTTTGTCTCTCGTGCAGTCAAAGAAAAGCAGACACAAACTTATGGATCGGCCGAAACCGAGATATCCGAAACCAATCCTTCCTCTTCAAAGCTTGTTCTTGTTGTTGGAGGAACTGGCGGTGTGGGTTAGTGTCTCTTCTGCTTCTCAGATTCAGTTTTATGTATGTTATATTTTGAAAATTTGTGCAGATTTTTCTGATAAGAATATGTTACTGGCAGTTTTGCTGAACTGTTTCTTAAATAGTTATTCAGTAAAGTTTGGGTTAGATTGGGAGAAAACTCTAAGCTCTGTGGCAATTGATTTGAGGTTTTCTTTCACTCAGATTCACATCAACGAAACATAGCATTTAAATTCGATTCATATTACAAAAGACCGTTGATATCAGAAGATATATAGGGACAAGGATGCATTAGGTGGATGCCCATTGATAGATTAATTAGGGGCTGTTTGGTAGCAGGATTTAGGCCGGATTTGAGCGAAATCCAGCCAAACGGCCTAAAATGCAGAACCAAATCTCATGGCAAAAATTCCGCCTTTTCACGCTAAATCCTGGATTTCCGAAATCCTGTTTTTTGCGGGATTTACGAGATCCATTGGCTGGAGTGTTGAAAACCAAAGGAGGAAGCTCTTGTTTGATCTTCTTGCAAGATCTCTAGAGGGAGAGAGGAGGGAGAGGAGAGAAGAGCCGTGAGCCAAAATGATCTCAAAAACTTTATTTCCCTTGGTTGCTTTCCTAATACAAGCTAAAGCCTATTAATAGGCACAAAAGCAACACCTACAGCTATACAAATAGCTACAAAAAAGCAAACCTAAATCTTGGACTAATACCTAACATCGAGAGGAAGAGTCCGCTCGTTGAATCCGCTCTACAGCCAAACACTCACACAATATTTAATAAGATTTATTATGAATGTTACCAAATAATTTTCAGGATTTAGGCCCCTTAGGATTTCCGAAATCCAGATTTAGAGGATTTACGAAATCCTACTTAAATCAAATCCTGGGTGCTACGAAACAACCCCTTAGGCAATTCTTAGGGGTTGCACCTGGCCCCATTCCTCATGTACAACCAGCACTGGTGGTGAGCTCCAGTGACTGCCCAACCAGGTTACCTATGGCTGGCCAAGATCTTTATTGAACTTCTACCATCAAAAGGAGTCTAGATCTGTCTTTGATTTGTGATGAGGTCTTTTGGACTTTGTGCGGTTCTTAAGGGGAAATATGAATTTTAAAATTTCTAGAATCCATTGCCCTCTGCAAAGAATGAAACTAAGAGCCATTTGTGGTGTTGAGTAGCTCTTCGAAAGAAGAACATTCCAGGCACCATTTTCCATTGAATCATAATCTCGACCAAAAATTTCCCATAATAAGTATGACTTGGTCTCTTAGGCTTCGTTTGGGACGACTGCTTCTTAAAGTAGCTTTTTAATATGAAAATTCTGTTTTAAAAAACAGTAAGAAAATCGTCCCAAATGAAGCCTATGAATCATCTATATTTTTTGCATTGGGTTGCTCTCATCGATGCGAATGAATTCAAACTAAGAACTTTATCTGCATCTATATTTTTTGAAATGATAAAATGGAATACTACATTTTCTATGCAATACTCCTAAAACATTCTTGGTTATCTCAAATCTCTCCTTGGAATATCCATTAATTTCGACACCTAGTATTCATTATCACCCATCATAAACCGACGCTAACACTGAGGCTTCATTTAGGACGGCTTTCTTACTGCCCTTAAAGCAGTTTTTCAGTACAAAAATTGAATTTTTTGTAATTTTTGTACTGAAAAGCTGCTTTAAGAAGCAATAAAAAAGCCATTCCAAACGAAGCCTGAATGTCTATTGTGGCTCAACATTGGCCATCTCTCATCATATAGTACCCGTTGTCGATTGGTGTCGATGCTTGCTAACATCCATCATCTCTTGCTAACATCAATAATATCTCATTGGCTAACAATCCTTCTTTTTTTCTTTTTTTTCAGGGCAGCTCATAGTGGCATCATTGCTAAAGAGAAATATCAAAGCAAGATTATTGTTAAGGGATCCTGCAAAAGCAAAATCCTTATTTGGCCTCCAAGATGAGAATTCTTTGAAGGTGCATATTAAATTTATAAAAAATGATATTTTTATTTATTCACCAAAATTGAATGTGCCAGTGGCATAACTGTAATTTTCAGTAAAATAATGGGTACTTAATCATTGAATCACAATTCAGTTGTGTCTCAACAGAATTACACTGATTTTGCTTGATTTCTGTCTTCTCTCTATTTGGTTTGATTAAACATTTAGATATTTTTATCCCTTTCTTCAACATTTTAAAATTTCTTATAGAAAACTAGAATAAAAAAATATGTTTCAGGAAATACTTATATAATAATTATTATGAAAGACTAATACCTTCTTTTATATGAAAAATAAATTGCAATTGAATATTATAACCAACATTTTACTATAAATATAATATAAATTAAAAAAGCTTTTCTACTGTGATTATCATAAAAAATTGACTACCTAATAGAGTTCTACTATGATTATCATAAAAAAAAAAAAAAAAATCGACTACCTAATAGAGTTAGAGATTAATGAATGAGTACTATTTTATTCACTTATATTAAGAAAGAAATATTTGATTATATTGATAATAAAACAATCATATCAATTCTTTCAGAATATTAAGAGCAGGTATAGCAAATTATAAATTTGTTATCATCTTATATTTTATCTTTATAAAACAACAAATTTAAACAATTTTTTTTTACAACTATCAAAATAATTCTCAAGTCCGAATAAGAAAAAAACATAAAGAGGATATTTAAAAATTTAAATTCTTGCTCAAATAGAAAAAATTTCAGACTTTGCCACTGATACATTTGTATATGTTGGTAATTGCTAGATATGGAAGGGAGATACAAGGAATCCTGATGACTTAGATTCAGCCATTTTTGAGGTTTGTCCCTAAAATTCTCATTTGAAGGAGAAATTATTTTGTGCGGATGCCGAACACCGTCCGGAGACCAACCAGAATGCGCAACTTCGCCCTTTCGCTCGGTACCGTGGCTCGGTTCCGCTGACATGGCTGCATCTGATTCTTCTCAGCTGCGTCCGGTATCCGCACAGAATAATTTCTCCACCGGAAGATTATATAGCTACAGTTAAATTTATAACCTATCTATTGAACCAAACTATAGGACTTGTTTCTTAGGGAGTGACGCATGTAATTTGCTGCACGGGCACTACAGCATTTCCTTCCAGGCGATGGAATGGAGAAAATACACCTGAAAGAGTAGGTAGGCTTATATTTACTACAGGCGTTCAAAATAATAATATTTCTCTGAGTATCTGAGACTGATTTGTCTTCTGAAGATTGGGAGGGGGTGAGGAATCTCGTATCGGCATTGCCTGAAACAATTAAGAGAATTGTTCTCGTCTCATCTGTTGGTGTCACAAAATTCGATGAACTGCCATGGAGGTATGTATGATTATGATAAAAGTGCATGAGGAGTTTGATGATGATGATAATAATGAAAAAATGTTTTAAATTAAATTTTTATTTGAGGCAACTTTCTTACTGTTTTCTGATGAAGTTTTTTAGTACAAAAAATTTTAGTTCAAAAAATTTTTTTTTACTTAAAAACTGTTTTAGAAAGCAATAAAAAAGTTGTTCCAAACGAAGTCTAAATGAGAATAATTATACTTTGTATTGTGAATGATGAGGTGATGGAGATGTTTTAATTTTGTGCAATTTTAGATTTTTTTTTGTTTTGTTATGTCTTCCCAAATGTATTTTGTTATGAAAATGAGATTGAGAATTAATTATTTAGAGATATAACAATAATGTTTATTACAGAAAAGATTTTGAAATTTGAATTTGGTTGATAAGGATACATAGAAAGAAAAGCAGATAGTTAGGGTTTGGTTGCTTGAGTTGAGATGAGATGATTAGAGGACTAAGTAGGGGTATTAATAAATAACTCGGTCTGACAATCTAACCTAAAAAATCTAAGTTTGAATTGATCCGTTTAAAAAATATGTCAAGTTTGGGTCCAAAATTTTGACCCATTTAATTAGTTGGGACATCGAAGATCAACGGCTACGATCGTGTCTATTTATTTTCATGTATTTTATTTGTTATTTGTACTTTTTCATTTCTACCCTCACTTGAGGGCTTTGTTTTATGTTTGCTCTAGGGGCAATTATGTCTTTTTATTTTCTTTCATGTATTTGGCTATTTAAGCCCTCCCCTTCGTCTTGGAAAGGGATGATGAATTATTGATAATGAAATTTTATGTTCTTGTTGATCTCTTAGTGAGTTCATGTTGATCTCTTAGTGAGTTCATGTTGATCTCTTAGTGAGTTCATGAGAGGAGAAGCCTGAGGAGGGTAACTTGCAATACCCGCGTCAATCTTTGGAAGAGTCCGAGGTTCGCGGTTCTTACGATATCTTTGTGAGTTCGTTAGTTATCTCTATCTTTCTCATATATTCTTGTTCATCTCCTTTCTCCCCTCTTCATCCGCCCAAGTCTTCCCCTAGCTCCACCTCCCCAAGCCGACGACTATCACCCACCCGATCGCCGGCCTAACCCAGCGAGAGGAGGATCGCACTCTCCCAATCTCTAGAATTCAATCTAGAGCCCTAGCCACCAAAGAAGAACAAGAAAACTTTCACAAAATATCTCATAACCCTAATCCCCCCTTTTCTCCCCTACTTAATGCATACAATTCAAATCTAAAACAAAAGGACCTAATTACCCTTGCTTCCCCTCCTTTTGGCTCCAAGAAACAATTCAAACTCCAAGTGGACCCCACCCCTCTCCCTTCTTCTTGTGTCCGCCGGCCCTCCTGGCGTAGACGAACAAAGCCGGCCCAAGGGGCTGGGCCGGCTGGACCGGTCCTCCTTGGACCGGTCTAACACAAATCAATTCGGACAATACTCGTTGGCCCATTTTGACACCCCTATGATTATAATTGAGAATACAAACATTAAATTAACATTTTGATGAAAATTTTGATTTATAAAAATTAACTTTAGAAAAAGATAGTCGGTGAGAATATCGACTTAAAAATAAAAAACTTAGCTCAAATATATATATAATATCTCAAAGAATTGAGGATGAGCATTTAGTTGGACAAAGCCTAATGATAATGGTTTAAGCTTATATATCATAGAAACGTTAATTAATATAAAAAATATAAGATAATAATTTCTTTTTCTTCTTTGTATTTTTCAGTATCATGAATCTCTTTGGTGTCCTCAAGTACAAGAAAATGGGGGAGGATTTCATTCGCAACTCTTCCCTTCCCTTCACCATTATCAGGTTTGGAGCTCTGAGCTTTTCTCGTGTTATTTCATGCTATACTCTCAACATTTTTGAAAGATCTAAGAACATATATGAAAAATCAGTGTTAGATAATTAAGGCTTCGTTTGAGACGGCTTTCTTCTTGCTTCATAAAGCAGCTTTTTAGTATAAAGATTAAAATCTTTAAGCTTTAAGAAGCAGAAAGAAAGTCATCCCAAATGAAGTCTTCGTTGGGGACGGTTTTCTTCCGGCTTCTTAAAGTGGCTTCCTAGTATAAAAACTAAAATTTTTGTTGTACTAGAAAGCCGCTTTAAGAAGCAGTAAGAAAGCCGTCCCAAACGAAGCCAAAACCTTAATATGCTGAATTATAATATCTTTTTTTTTATTCTTACAGAGCTGGAAGATTGACTGATGGGCCATATACTTCATATGATCTGAATACCCTTCTTCAGGCAACAGCAGGAAAACGTCGTGCAGTTGTTATAGGAAAAGGTGATCATACTTAAATCATGCAGTTAGATTATGCTTTGAAGGATATATAATGGGATTCATTCATTCCAGTCTTTCAGTTTTAATAGATGTTATGTATCTGATTGTTTATGGTTTAGGGTTTATTTTTAAAATCCTCTGCATATCGAAGCTAAACTAAAGGACACCACACATTAGGGGTGTGAGCCGAGTCGGCTCGAACTCAGCTCGTTAACGAGTTCATGAGTTGAGCTTATCGAAACATAAGTTCAAGCTCAAGCCTATACTCGAGCTTGCATATTAGACGAGCTTGAGCTCCTGCTCAACTTGACTTAGCTCATAAGCTCATAGATCTGCTCAATTAAATAAAAAAACATTTAAAATTAATTTAAACTAAAATTATATAAAATATTTTAACCTGTTTATATTAATTCTATACTGAAAAATAACTCAAATTTTTACTTAAATTAAGAAATCGAACTCAACAATTGAGTCGAATTCAAACTTCTCAAATGAGCCCGAACCTAAATTTTTTTAACAAACCAAGCTTGAGTTTAGTAAGAAATAAATAAGTTTAGCTCCTTCGACTCATTTACACCCCTAGGTCACATTGTTCATTTCCTATATACTTTTTTTTTTCTTGATTTGAAGTGTTTATGTTTCACCTTGGCATTATTTATCACTTCTTTCAGGGGATAAGCTTGTTGGTGAGGTTAGCAGACTTGTAGTAGCTGAAGCATGCATACAGGCGTTGGATATAGAGTTTACTGAGGGGAAAATATATGAGATCAACTCAATCGAGGTGGGTATCCTTTATCATTGAAATTCCAATACATTAACTAATAACAATTTTTTATAGAAGTTGATTATGTTTGCATAGAGAAAGCTTCATTTGGGACGACTTTCAAACTTTTTTTCTTTAAACAGATTTTTAGTACAAAAAAAATTTTGTACTAAAAAACTGCTATTTAAGCAGTAAAAAAGGCATTCCAAACGAATCCGAAGTACTGCCATGAATAATCAATAGATTCTTGAATGTTTCCACTGTGACTTGGTAACCAAAGAACATAATCATATCAGTATAAACACACAGCTCAATTTGATATGTTGGTCGAGAGTTTAGACTATCAACGAAGAGAAAACCGATTGTTACATTCACAAATTCCATATCATTAAGTTAAATTCAAAAGCCAGATCATAAATGATTGTGATAAAGTTAATAATGATGATATTAATGGTTTTTTTCCAAGACAAGTATTGCTAAATGATTTCAGTTAAATGAATGCAGGGAGAAGGGCCTGGAAATGACCAGGAGAAATGGAGGGAGCTTTTCAAAGCAGCTGAAGAAAATTAGCTGCTTCAACAGCAGCTTTTGCTGGAAGTTCTCCTTTTTGTACAACTATAAACAATATTATTGCAAGATGGCACAAACTTCAGATTGAAACAGATTGATCATTTATGTAAAATCAAATTTGGCTCAACCAAAATTAAAAAAAATATATATATTTTACCTAACACAAAATTATTAATTAATTACATACCTCGACATAAATATTGTACTGTGCATTATTCATGCAGACTACAACAACAACATCAAGCCTTTATCTCAATACGTGAGGTCAGCTATATGAATTTTTTTTCTCCATTGTGTCCGATTAAGAGTCAATTTCTCATTTAGATCAAATAAAGAAAGGTCATTTCTAATATTTTCTAACCAAGACTTTTTAGGTCTACCTCTACCTTTTTTAACATAAGTTAAATCTAATACATCTACTCTCCTAACCGGGTGATCAGAAGGCTGTCATTTTATGTGATCAAATCATCTAAGAGAACTCTCTCTAATCTTATCTGTCACTGAAGCTACTCCAACCTTTTCACATACTGTAATATTCAATTTATATTATATATATATGATAATTTTCAGACAGATTTCCAGTTGAGTTAAATTGTTCGAGACAGAAAAAGTTTAAACTATACGTCCAAATCAACTTGAAGCCATGCGAGTCGATTTCAAATTGAGTCGAAATTCGAGCAAGTTTTATATTTCAAGATCTAAGATCGCTCATGCGGATCATTGGTTGAGGGAAGAAATTCCTTCTGCTGATCCCGCGTTCGAATCTCCTAATATGCCCAAAATTATATATATTTCTAGCTTCTTTAGCAATTTTAGACTGAAAGAACCATCATATTAAATCTTAAGTCAGTCCTCAGGTGACAATAGGATAGAATTTTAGTAGAGCAATGCTTTGCTGATCCATAAAAACAATATGCATATGTGGTGTTGGAGGGGGTCCTCCACCGGCTTGGGTTCAGGCGTTTTGCACCCAAATTTTAAACCGTACAGCGATGCGGTGTTGTGTACAAAAGCGTTGAAATGCTATGTAGTTTCCTTGGAGACAGAAAGAGAGCAGAGCGCTACACAATCCAAACCCTGACGTTGCGGTGCTGCCAGGGAGCTTTGCGATGCTGTCAAGCTATCAAGCAGAATGGTGACAAAGAATTGAACGTCGCGGCACTTCAAACATGACGTCACAGCACTGTGAGACGGGCTGGTAATTTTCTTTCGCTTTTTCCTTGTTGGTTTTTTTTTTTTTAATGCTTTCTCTTAGTTTGCTCTAGTGAGAACGGTGCAAGGGTAAAGAGAAGCAAGAAGAGACTGAGAAAGAAGAGAAATCTATATTAATTCTCCCAAATTTTCATAGTGAGTTTCTTGGTGTGATGGGCTATGATTTTTTTCCGGTTTCGAGTTTTTCCACATTAAATCCTAGTGTTCTTTCTTTTCAGTTGCATTTTCTCTTGCTTGTTTGTGTTCCCTCCGTGATTTTACTTCCTCAACAAAAGCTAACTCTACTACAACTTTTTTTTGGAATCAATCTATATATAGCATAATTCATTATATTATTCATTATGCTCTTTCAAAATATTTTTCTCTTTAAAGCTCTCATTTATATAGGCATCTTCATCTTTAACCAAGATCCTATTACCTTCGCTTTTAATGCAGTTAACTTAATAGAAATCCCCTAAAACTTGCATCTATTACATATTTATTTTATTTATTTCTCATTTTTCTCTTCCTCAAAACCAAGTCTATTATACAAATCATCAAAAGTTATACTTTTTGTTTTACTCAATAACCCCTTTGCAAGAGTTTTAATTTTATTCTAATCATTATAGTGCTCAATAAAAAGTGCATATATTTTTCCTAATAACCAATTGTACCTTCTCCCTCCACCAACAAGGTCTCCTATGAACATATAATTTATGTCTAAACTTTACTAAAACTTCTATAATAGTCCTAATTGAGCTAAACATTTTACCCCACATCATGTTTAACTCAATTAAAAATTTTCAATTGTCATTTCTCAAGTATTTATTTTTGAAATATTAATAATTTCTAATCTTTCAAATTCCACCACCCTATTCAAGCGCAATAATTTTATTTTATTATTCTCTTCATGCTATGATATAAATTCCTACGATTGATATGTCTTAAGAAAATTCACTTTGATCAACACGAATCTTGATGCAATATTTATAGTGAACCGACCAGTTCAAGTGACCGACCAGCCACAAAAACAAAGTATTCTCATCTTCTTCAATTGAGAGGGAGGGCGGACTCCTTTAACATATCTATATAGTGGGTCATTTTATTTAGGACATACCTCTTTTTTTCCCTTTACAAAATTTTCACTTAAAAATTCTAGAGTTTACTCTATCATTTTTGTTATGTCTTTGTGTTGGATCTCCATGAATCAAAGACGTAAAAATTCAACCTCTATTGCTGATAATTTTCTAACACGCAACAACTATCATAATGTGGTCAGACTTTCATCTGAAATCACATTATAATCTTCGCAATAAGAGTTTTATTTCCACAAAATTGTGATTTGGCAACTCCACTTTTATAAGAAAATTCATTATTTATTTTTTTCATCTTTCTTAGTATCAAACAGCACTACAGAAGTCGTAGTTTTTTGCTTTACTCTAACGTCTTTGCTAGATACCTATAGCTTTTTTTATAGTAAATATAAATCTAATTATTATTCAATTTGAATACTTTTTAAAAAAAAACATTTATTTTTCTGAATAATTACCAAATCTCCTTACTAATGTAATGTATGATATGTTTCTAGAAAGTTCTACAACAATCCTTTTAATGGAGCTATGCAGCTTATCACAAATCTGAGTTTGGCACAACTATAGAATTTTAATTTCCTCTCTTAACAAAATTTAGAAATATTAATAATTTGATGCCTTCAAAATTCCTAAACCTTATCCAAGGGCCATAATTCATTTTTTTTATTTTTTGTTTGTAATGTTAAGATAAAAATATATAACTACTACCATAATATGGTATAATTAAAATTTCTACTGAAAGTACCTTAATTTTTTTGCAGGAAGATTTTCTTTTCAAGTAAGAAAATATAGAATTCTGATTTTGTGACTTAATAACACTCATAAGTAACCAAATATTTTCATTTCTTAAAATATGTGTTCACTTTTGCAAGATCATAGACTACTATGAAATCAAGTATAATTTATATCATTGCATTTCTATCTCCTATTCAATAATCATCATGAATCCTCTCATAACTCGTCCTATTATAACATATATGCTCATTTAGGTTTTGTTTGGGACGACTTTTTTACTACTGCTGAAAATAACTTTTTAGTACATTTTTTAATTTTTATACTAAAAAGCTGCTTTAAGAAGCAGTAAGAAAACAGTCACAAACGAAGCTTTAAAATACATCCAAAAATCATCATTCATTCAACAAATATATATTGTAATAGTTCACCAATTTCTTAACAAAATTGAATTTTTGAACCATCTTCTAATTCATCTTGAGGAGCAAAAATACTAATCACAATCATAATTTTTGCATCAAAAAATATCTTAATATAAATGACCTTTTATCTTCTTGCCAATAATAGTTCGCTGATATCATTCTTATTGCTAACATTTTCAACTTATAAGTGCTTATAACATTCACAATATCCTTTGATTTCACTCCACTCAATTCAACTTTTTTGTAAACCAATAATATTTATTCTTCCTCATATGATGGTATCCAATTCTCTCATCTCCCCCAATCAAAGTTCTCAAATTCCATATGTCAAACCTAATCTTAGATTTAGAATCAATCAACTCCAACTTATCATCACAATGGGTTATCTTGAATTTGTCACTTAAGAGTAGTGACATACTAACCCATTATTATTTATTTTTCACCAAAATTAATTAAGCTGTGGTGCACAATTAAAGGTGACATCCTAGAATATCATATTCTATGATGCACAGACACGAACACGGCGACATGGATACGACACGACACGGATACGTCAGTTATTGAAAATATAGGACACGGACATGGGTTGGACAAGGTATTATAGTTTTTATATTTAAAAAATAGTGTATAAAAATTAAATAAGTATAATTTTAAAAATAATTTAAAAATAATAAATCATTTAACTAAAATTTGTGCTTAACATGATTAGTATTATGATGTCATGAGTCAAGCATCACTGTCGTTTATCAGTCACCGAGGGGAAATGAAAATACCTTCATTACCAAAAAGAAAATAAAATGAGAATATTCGATGATTGGGTATTAAGTGCGGACATTGAATTGGTGTTGTGAATAGAAAATAAGATATTTAGTCTAAATCTCATCAAATACAAGAAAATATATTTAAAAAAATTCATAAAATATTGAAGATACACGTGTCGGACACGCGTGTCCAATTTGTATTTAATATTTTTTAATCGGACACATTTTCGGCATGTCCGACATGTGTCGGAGGAGTGTCAGACGAGTGTCATGTCGGATACGATGTCGGACACTGCACGCCTCTTTGAAAAGAAGTGTCGGTGCATCATAGTAGCCTACCCTTACTAACTTTACCACAATAAGAATAGGTTGTACCACGCAACTTCTAAGGAATACCACCTAAGCATTGAAAAAAGTAATCTCAACCATCCAAAGTAAATTGGAAGGCTAGACTTGAATAACTTTGCCCCCCATTCACCATGTAATTGAAGAGGATCCGATTCCATAGACTTAGAGGGTGTTTAAATATCTTTACTTGAGTGCGTAAAGGGAGCATTTCTCAGCATAGTAACAAAGAGGGTTCTAGACAGAAAATCTCCTTTAATTGAATAAAATTACTGAAATCATGTAATTTGTTCTGTTGGTACACAGTTTGCATCATAAGGATGATCAGAATGAAAGCAAAACCCTACTCTTTGTGGTGTGCTTATGCTATTCACTAACTTAGAATTCAAAATGGTACCTGTTCTATCTTGTTATCCTTGCAAGCAATGGCGTCCTTTCGATAACCCCAAAACCAGCTTGAAGATGTTCTTGTTAGCGTTGCTGCTAAAAGTTTTACTTTGACTCTTTAAAATTTCTTCCCGAGCACACAGACCAGCAGAAGATAATGGCAAGCACCAAAGTCAGATCGAAAGCATCAAGAACCCCAAACCAGCTTGAAGATGTTCTTACTGGCACCGCTGCTGATAGTTTTGTTCTGATTCTTCAACATTTCTTCCTGGGCACGGATATCACCCTCCTTCAGAAGGACAGACATAGCAGAGTTTTTGATAAGTGTACCAGTTAATATTTAAATATAGGGAGATTTACATACATACCACTCTATACTATTCTATTTACATATTTAACACCTAAAACTGTATTACATACATATCACCCATAGTTCATTTTCATATCAAATATGAGTGGTGGAAATGAAATTTATGAGTGGTATGAAGGAAATATGAGTGGCATATTTGATATTAAAATAATATAGGGTGATATGTACATAATATTATAACTTTGGGTGTTAGACATGTAAATAGGACGATGTAAAATGGTATGTATGTAAATTTCCCAGAAAACCATTCATACTCCATGATACTACGACTATAAGATTACAAAATGCTGGTAGTGACCAGCACAAGCAAAAAAAATCCAGCTTAAAACCAAACAAGAACAAAGGCGACAAGGAAGAGTACCCACAAGCAAAGAGTATGCACGAGCTAGGGCTAAGACAGTCGGATATAGATCTATAACAGATAGAGCAATATCTTCTGTTACTAGGGGAACCTGCAATTATTGATGCCAAAGAGACCAAAGTAAATAGGAAATATCACATCTTTGCATATGATCATATAAAGCAGGTGATTGTAAGGAAAATAAATTCAGCAAGTTGCAACCAAAGCGACCAGAAAAGAAACCATATCTGTATAACATAGATAAAAAAAATGATGGTCACCTGCATCAGCTGGAGAGAAAATACATCACTGACAGTAATCTTCTCAAGGTCTTGACATCTTTTAACAAATTCATTAAAGATTGGACAAGCTCCCTGGCTTCTAGCATTCTGCATGGAGAATTGTGCACTGTAATACTGCTTTATTGATAGTGACAGAAATCCGTATCTCCTAACAGTGTCAGCAAAGCCACTGGTTCTCTGAACATCAAATCCTTCTAAAATTTCTGTTGTGAAACAGCTGTAAATGAGGAACTAAATGTAAAGATGAATATTTCATGCAGGCAAGGAGTTGCAAAGAGAGACGGACACCGCATTAAGAGAAAAAAAAGGTAAATAAATAATAAAAGATCAATAGAAGAGGAAGGCTAAATATTATAACTCTAGCACACAAGAAAAGAAATGAATAAAGAACCAAACAAGATGAGTGTCTTTTCGTAAGTGTTCCTAGGGTTAATTACAAAATTTCTATCAAGATGAGTGCATAATTACAAAGTTTGTATCATCCTTCTGAGCTGTGTTGTTACTCAAATTAAATTCTCATTTATTTGAGTACATTGAACCGCTAATTAGCATTTATATTTTCAAACTCCTGATGTATTTTAGAGTTATAAGATCTGATTCTCTGTATGTGTTCAAGTCCAAGTTCATGCTTTATAGTTCATGTCACATTCGAGTCCAAGTCTTTGTAGTCCAAATTAAGTTTGAATCAAGTTTTTCATTTAATCATTCAAGTTTGTATTTAGTCAATTTAATTGCTAAAATCAAGTCCAAACAAAGTCCCATGCAATAGTCCAAGTCTGGGCCTTCCCACCACTTTAGAAAAAGTGTGTATGGTAGGTGTTCGTAAACATGACGGTCGTAGTCTTCATCCCCCACCACGCCAAGAAAGACATGTATGGGTCTACAAAGGTACTTGTTTGAAAATAGTCGGCTTTCCCCCGTCACGCTACATGAGCGGTTGAGTGCTTAAGGGTACTTATAAGTGTCTCCACCTCGCCGCAGGCGTCGCACCGGGTTACCTTAACACCACGCTAAGAAAAGCGTGTATATGTGATTTTCTGGTGTGCCGCGAATGCCTAAAATGAGGTTTTAATTGATTAATCGCCTAGCCGCGAGCATCGCGACGAGCTTCCTCCAATCGCACTAAGAAAAACGTGTATATGTGGTTGCTCGCCGCGCTGCAAGCGCTGAAAAACGGGCTCTCAAAGTTTTAGGGATTAGAGAGATTATACGTTTGCAAAGATGACGATAATAATGGAAAATGCGCACAAATGCATAAGTTACAAAATATACAAAAATGCATTTTCCCCTCTTCTCATTTTTTCTTTCTCATTCCTTTTTTTTATTTTTTTGACTTTTCTCTCTTTTTATTTCTCCTTTTCTTTCCCTTTCTTTTTTGAAACCTGCTGTCGAGGTCAACAGGCATGTTAACCATTGACTTAGCATTCTCTTAAGTCTTGAAATTTCAATGAATTTATTTGATATACAAACCCTTCAATATCTCTAAACCTCCAAAATCCCAATAAGTATCTCATTTGAGCCTAACATTTTACTAATATGCATCTTTCTCAAAGTTAACATGACTTTTTCAGTCAGTATGTAATAAAGCTCATTGCTTTATTATTTATAATTTTCAATATTATTTTTATCTGGCCTAACAATTTCACAATGTAGCATTTCTATCTTTTTATTGATGCATTCATGTTTAACTAATAAACAATAAAACTTGGCTCTTGAAAAGAAGTTCATTAAGTAAAACATAAAGAAAACATGAGAAATCCATTGCAAGCATTTATAAAAGGCTGTACCCACGTTTTAATTATGCTCCAATTATAGAAGCTCTATTAAAAAACATGAGAAGATCAAACAACGTTTGTTTTAGATGGATAAGTTTCTGATTGTAACAGCATCCTGCTAGTTATAACCACGGTAAACTTCAAGCTTTCAGACAGCTAAAAAGAAGATAAATAATGGAAATAGAGGCAAACATTGATGGCATGAAGAACAAGAATAAAACGGATTATATACGCTGTTTTAATGCTTTCAGCAGCTTCCAGTGTACTCAGATCACCTTCAACGAGATAGATCATCTTTCGAAGCCCACATCTCTGCAAACAATAATTGCGTATAAATAGAGTGACTAAGTGGCCATAAAGTCAAGTGAAGAATTCGCATGATGATGCTCTTTAAATTGGACTTCTTCAACCATCAACTAAATAACCAGGTAAAACAGAAATCATATGGACAAAACCCGAGAAGGAATGAGTAAAGGACGAACTCATCAAATAATGCTTTTTAAAAAGAGAACTTGAAAGAATAGAGAACTGTGCTAATACAGCAAACAAACAAGTTCTTTTAGGGTCAATTTGTTTTCGCATGAGTTGTGATATGTAGTTGGAATTCAATGCAAGAGTAGATTTGAACTTTATATATGAATAGAAGGGAGTTCATATTTTTGGAAGTCAGCTTCATATATGAGAGGGGATTGTCTAAGGGCTTGTAGATAAATTTTACCCTAGGTTTCTCCAAAAAAGGTAAAAATAATATCCTCAAAGAATGGATCACTTTGCTTTTTTTATCTCACTTCTAATATGGGAACTCATTACAACCCAAACAATATTGGAATTGGATTTGTGACAGATGATTTAATGTAAAACAATCAAACACCACTGAGACTCACTTATAAAAATTGAGCTTAAGCGACTTCTAAAATTTCCAATTAATTAGGTCAAAAAAATTTGGGCCTTGAAGATGAACTGGGCATGAAATCAGTACGTAGTAATTTTTAATAAAAATTATGCGATGTTTATAGCAGGAGTAAGAATCCAAATATTTGGTATTGACATTGTTCAGATGTGTGGAACTCAATTTCCCCATTTTTTTCTCTCATACAACTTTTATTTCAAACTCATTGTAAATCCCTGAAAATCCTACATAAGATTTTGACTAAAAATGATTTTGATTTTCAAGTTTGATGGTTAACAAACACAAAACCAATCATTCTGAGGGAAATAACTTCGGGTGAAAGGCACAAACTAAGAATAATCTATAGTAAAGAAAAGCTACATCTATCTGTTTTTGAGTTATAGCCAACAACTATAAGCCAAGAAGGTTGGGATTGCCTAGACAATCAATTCGAGGGAAAAAACTTCGGGCATTAAAGGCACAAACAAAGAATCATCTATATCAAGGAAAACTCCATCCATCTCTCTTTGAGTCAAAACCAACAACTATGAGCCAAGAAGATTGGGGTTCCTTGCACAAACATACTTTGAGAGTTATATGATTCTAATTGACAAGGAATGTTGCCTTTAACATATTATATAAGATGACCTCAGCTGGCAAGAAGAAAGCTCTATCAAACATGTACAAAAAACCGTCAGACGATGAACATGTTATATATAATAACAAAGATTTTTAATCTCAAGATGGTTGAAGACATTTTGTAACGACGAATATCAGCAAGTTCAATCTTTTAACAAACCAATGAAATCAATTAATATAAGCTTTGATAATGAGGTTCAAGCATTGAGCTTCTTGTTCTCATTACCAAAAAGTTGAGTTGAAACTATGACAGCTGTCAGTTTTTCAGGCAGGTCTATCAAGTTAAGCTCAATGATATATGTGACGTACTCATAAATGAAGACAAAAGGAAATGAAATCAAGTTAAGGACCTTCTATTGCTCTGAATCTAGAAAGCAGAGGAAAAAGTATAAGTAAGAGCTAACATCAGAGGTATATCAGAATCTTAGCAAAGGAACAAATTAAAAGGTTAAAGTCACTTCTGCCGGCAACGTGGCAAGTTTGGTTATATGAAAAGAGACTCTCCACAGAACAGTAGACATAGTTCAAATCAAATAAGGAACAAATTAAAAGGTCAAAGTCACTTCTGCCGGCAACATGGCAAGTTTGGTTATATGAAAAGAGACTCTCCACAGAATAGTAGACATAGTTCAAATCAAATGAATGAATTTGTATATATTGCAAGTGAAGTGATCTATTATGTATAGATCCTTAATGTGTATAATCCTATAAAATCCTAGTCTTGGAGTTTATATCAACTATTCTGCAAGATATAGCCTAAGGAGAATGTGAAAATGTTTATCTTATCGATGATGAACTCTTGACACTGGGGGAATTGGTAATGCACAAATCATGAATAGTAATAGGACTTTGCAAAAGCTTCATAATACGAGGCATCTTCCTACTTGAAGAGAAATCTAGTTTCAATTAGGTAGTTATAATTAGAAAGTCATGTCTCAACCTTTTAAATTGATTGGAATGTAACCAAGGTGGCATGATGTTAGAACATGAAACCAAGAATGATACCATGCACATGAAGCCAATCGCTTGAACAATGCAAGCAGCTGTTAAATCTATTGTTGATGATTTAAAAGGAAAATAGCATATCTGAATCAAGGAGCTGCATTGTAATAAGGAAAATAATGTTATAAAGGCTGATAGGTTTATCACTAATGGACTAAGGCAATATAAAGCCCCAGTTAACCCCAATCGTTAAACGAGTGGGTTATCGCACGGCAATGATTCTCTTTCAGAACAACATATCAGAAATTAATATCCTAATGGACATTGTTCAGATATGTAGAGTTAATTTTCTAATATTCCTATCTTGCAAATTTGATTTCAAATTCAATATAAAAGAAAGAAAATCATAAATAAGCATTGTCCTAATCACTAATGGACTGAGGTAATATAAAGTCTCAGTCAACCCCAATCGTTAAATGAGCAAGGTTATCACATGGCGATTATTCTCTTTCAAAACAACATATCATATATTAATATCCCAATGGAGATTGTTCGGATAAATGGTGCTCAATTTCTAATGTTATTGTCATACAAATTTGATTTCAAATTCATTATAAATGAAAGAAAATCATAAATAAGCATTGGGCTAAATCTTACTTTGGTTTTCAAGTTTACTGGCTATCAAACTCAGGATCCTATTCGCACTTGGTTCTTTATATATGTCACCATATATTCCTCTATAAAGGGAAATGAAATCAATGATTGCAAGGCATCACTCATTCTTCTCTGTCATTCAATTGGGTGTAGAGGTGGAGGTGCAAGAAGTGGCCTATGAAATGATCAGAAGTTGATCGTTATCTTGGTCAATGTCGTAAAGAGATAGTTCTCTATTGAGTGGTAAGCAAAGACTATTGAAAGGACAAATGTGGCAATAGAAATTCAAAAGGAAATCGACGACTATCGAAAAGCTAGTGATCGACAAGATGGCTCTCCTCTCTCTAGTTATAATAATAGGTAGAGGAATCATGCTGGTTTGGTCAGGGAAAAGGAGAGAGAAAGATGGAATAATAATAATAAAATAATGGTGAGAAAAATATTTGAGTGAGGAGATATTTGAATCTTGCATGTCTTTAGGCTATTGAATGTTTATTTCTCTATGATCATTGATGTAGGTGAATCTCACCACTGTTGATGTTGAAAGTGGGTTTTGAAAAGATTAGTATTCTTTGGGGAATTTTAAAAATTGATGTTGAAATCTAATTCTAAAATCGAACATCTCATCGGAAAAAGTATACCACCTCGAAAGGTAGCAATAAAATTTCAGGATGGGGTTCAAATTTAGAATTGCGAATCCCATCTCGAATATTATAACCGGATTTAAGCGAGAACTTCGTGTGGCCCCGGAGGATCAAAATGAAGTTCAACCAAATATCTAGCTACGATAATCTAGAATGATCATCGTTAAGTTTATATCCAAAGTTTTATCAACAAAAGATATATCTCCCCAAGGGAGAAAATATGATTTTCTATTAATTTCTCGAATATGACGATAACGGTCGTCGATGATTGAAGTTTATCCAAAGAAAATTGATTAAGTTTTGAAAATCGATTTTGAAAATTGGTGATGTGGGTTCTAAATCTCCTGCGAGTGCAAGCCCCCATAGTTAATTACATCATAGGAAATTGGAATTTCCTACGAATACTCTCGATTAAAATAATGACGAAATTTTGTTAAAAGAACTTCTAAGAGTGATATCAAAGGAATTCAATCTTAGAATTTCAATAGGGAATAGTGCAAGATTAAAACTTATTAGTAGGTCAAAGGAAGAAGGGTAGAGGGTACTTTGGGATTCTGGAATAATCCAGAAGTATCCCAACCTAATCTAAGTGCTGGCTTTAAGTTTTGGATTGAAAGAAAATTTAGTTTTAGTTGAGTATTTTATTAGAAGTTTGGGATTATATTTTCGAAGGTTGAGTCTTATGATTCAAACTTCGCCCCAGATCCTAAATCTAAATTAGACACCACATAATGGTGACCTGAACCTAACTAACGCAATGCAAAATATGGACTTACCCCGGCCTGAATTGGAGAGCCAGTAACCACCAAATCAATTTTAAATCCATGAATCTGATCATTTTATGAAAAGTTGTAGGGACGTTTTATTAAAGTTTTAGAGAGATGGGGCCAACATCTAGAGATTGTCCTAAGTGGCCCCTCAATTTATGTTGGGTGAACATGCTAAAGACATGTGCAATTAAATTTTAAAAATTTTAAATGTGTTTCTAATGCAATGTGTGCTGGTCAAAATAATCAAATCATAATGCTTGAAATTTCAAAAAGGCTTAAAAATATTTTTTTAGAAAATTAGGCTTCCCCCAGTTCAGCACCTCATCCTCATAGGTCGAATTATTTGAACTCTACCCACAGGCGGGAAAGTGTCTTAAAACAAGGAAAGAAAAATGCATTGATATGCATGCGACCCCGGACGATCTCCTACTTATTCCCTAGATCGTTATCTTTCTATGTTATTTAACTCTTAAATTTTTAAATTTTAGTTACGAATAGAAGAATTTTCACACCCTTACGAGTCTCACGTATCCAGGCTAAATCAAAAGCGTCACACAATCGCCAAAAAACTATAAAAAATAGACAAAATCCTAATCGCAATCACATCAAATATAATCAAACTAATTAATAAATGTTCATATGCAAATTGTCTTGCTTATTACAACCCATAAATGCAAAAATAAAAAGTGGCTGAGCACCACTAACCACAACCCAGATTCTAATCCTAGTACATACAAAAATGACTTTGAGTGGGATTCTCTTTGTCATCTATTC